GCAGGCACTCACCTCTGCTGTCATAGTTCAACAGAAGCCGTAGACGAGACGGGAGAAGGCGCAACTGTCTGTGTATCAATGAAACTTTACTTATAGACACTAAATTTGAATATTACATCTTTTCATATGTCACAAAATAGTACTTTTGTTTCAGCCATTTAAAAACGTGATAAACACTCAGAGCTCAAGGGTCAAAAGCAGGTGGTGGGCTGAATTCGGCTCACAGGTTGTGGTTCCCCAGCTCCTGGAGGGTCGGAAGAGGATGGTTTCAAAGCCCAGCTCTCCTGTTTACTAGCTGTGTGACTTTGGAAACTCATCTTATCTCAGAGCTCAGTTTGCATTTTCATAAGGAGAATTTAAAATAAGACACTACATCTGAAGATGTACTAAATTTTTAAATGTCTAACACAGTGCCTATCCAAAGCTAGATCTTCAGCATTTTTTTCATTCTACCCTTTCCCCTTGCACTTATTACACTGTACTGTAAAATTTTATTTACATAGTTGCGATTTCCAAATAATCACATACCTTTTCATCCACAGGACTTATGCAATATTTAGTCTAGAATCGGTGCTTCCTAGATGCTTGCTGAATGGATACATTGACAAATGTACCTATAACTGTAGGTTTCTTATGGTCAGAGGCCATATGCTAATAGTTTTAGTGGAACCCCAGAAACTTCCCAAACCCTGGACCTTACTCCCTTTACTACTGGCTTCTTATGGGGAAGAATGGGGGGAGGAGGACATCTTACCATGGTCCCCCTACTGACAGCCACTCATGATGATCATCTCTCTGGAATTCTGTTCCTTATCTCTAAGTAAGAGAATCAGGGCCGGGCGCGGTGGCTCACGCCTGTAATCCCAGCACTTTGGGAGGCTGAGGCAGGCAGATCACGAGGTCAGGAGATCGAGACCATCCTGGTTAATATGGCGAAACTCTGTCTCTACTAAAAAATACCAAAAATTAGCTGGGCATGGTGGCGGGCGCCTGTAGTCCCAGGAGGCTACTCAGGAGGCTGAGGCAGGAGAATGGCGTGAACCTGGGAGGCAGAGCTTGCAGTGAGCCGAGATTGCGCCACTGCACTCCAGCCTGGGTGACAGAGCAAGACTCCGTCTCAAAAAAACAACAACAAAAGCAGAGAATTGGGCATCCTAAGTTTCACTCTTGTCCGTGTGAAGAGACCACCAAACAGGCTTTGTGTGGGCAACAAGACTGTTTATTTCACCTGGGTGCAGGCGGGCTGGGTCTGGAAAGAGTCAGTGAAGGGAGATAGGGGTGGGGCCGTTTTACAGGATCGGGGTGGGTGGTGGAAAATCACAGTCAAAGGGGGTTGTCCTCTGGCGGGCAGGAGTGGGGGTCACAAGGTACTCAGTGGGGGAGCTTTTGAGCCAGGATGAGCCAGGAGAAGGAATTTCACAAGGTAATGTCACCAGTTGAGGCAGGAACAGGCCATTTTCACTGCTTTTGTGGTTCTTCAGTTACTTCAGGCCATCTGGATGTATACGTGCAGGTCACAGGGGATATGATGGCGTAGCTTGGGCTCAGAGGCCTGACACTAAGATCCTTTTCAAGCCTCATTTTTCCGTCAGTTCTTTCAGCAGTCAATTAAATAAGGTCTGTTAAATATCCTTAATGTTTTAGACAGAATGCTAGACTCTGAGGATGAATAAAACCTAAGACATGATTCCTGCCCTGGAGCAGCTTAGTGGAGGACGCAACACTCACTGCAGCAAGTAACACGATGCTATGTGTGCACACGAGCGGCACCCGGGCGGAGGCTTGGAAGCCGGGGTGGAGCTAATACCACCACGGCTGTTCCCTGCCGTCCGCAGAGGAGTGAGGCTGGGCCTTGAAAGAGGGTTATGAGTTTGGCGAGGCAGAGAAGTGAGGGTGCAAGGTGCAGATAGAAATAGCGGCACTTCCGGCAGCAGGATGGGTATTTTAAATCCATTAACACATGAAAGTTAGCATTTACGGGGCGGGCAAGTACCCTGTGTGGCGGGAGTGGGTATGAGGCTGCTGAGGGTAGGGGGAGCATCCGGGGATGAAGCCAAAGATTGTTGCCAAGAAGGAAAGTCCTTCAATGAGCAGTCAACGGAGAACCAAGCAAGGCTCCAGACGGGGGAGTAAAATATCAGATCGGGGTTTCAGGTATTTCTCCAGCGGCAGAGTGAAGCCGGACTTGAAGGAGTGCCAGACAGAGCAGAGCAGGGGTTAGGAGGCTCTCGATGGCCCAGGTCAGGGACAAGGTTGTGGTGATCTTTTTTTCTCTTTCTTTCCTTTTTGAAACAAGGTCTCTGTCTGTTGCCCAGGCTGGAGTACAGTGGCATGATCATAACTCACTGTAACCTTAAACTCCTGGGCTCGAGTGATCCTCCTACCTCAGCCTCCAAGTAGCTGGAGCTACAGGCGCACACTACCATGCCCAGCTAATTTAAAAAAAAAAAAAATTGTGGAGACAGGGTGTCACTATGTTGCCCAGGCTGGTCTCGAACTCCTGGCCTCAGGTAATCTTCCTGCCTCGGCCTCCCAAAGGATTACAGGCAGGAGCCACCGCACCCGGCCCATCGTCACTCTTGATCTCCAGGTATAACTTGAGGGTCCTGCTGCCAGCATCTGTCCCTGTCAGTCCCTGTACTTCCATTCCATCCAGATACACTTACTTGCCGTTTTTCTAATAAGCCTGATTCAGTCATGTCTTCAGTCTGATATGCCACTTCCTATCATTTCTATCACGGGAGAAATTACAGAAAGGCTTCCTAGCTAAGGCAGAAGTTGTCCCCATTTTGATGTTTTATCTCCGGCACCTTATGTCTGTCATCCTAATTTTGCTTCCCCCAAACTTCAATCTGCGATCTTGCCTGGACTCTAGGACTTAAAGTCACAGACGCTCGAGCTCGGGGAGAGCTTAGAGATCATTTAATCTGTCCTTCTAGAAGGAGAACACTGGTAATGTCAGAGACTTTCCAAAGGTCTCACATGTTGGAGGCAGAACCAGGACTAAGATGCCAGGTCTGATTCTCAGTCTGGGTCTCTCTGCACCACGTAACACAGGCTGCTCCGGCTCGACTGGGACACAGCATGACTCTGCTTTGCCTTCTTAGCAGTGGCTTTGAGAGTAAGGGGACATGGGAATTTCCCTAAGGCCCTGGTGTAAGCATCATCACACAAACCTCCCATAATAAAATCCAAAGAACTACCCAGATTTTCTGGTTTGGTTAGGCTGTTGCAAATACTGGGGTTTTGTTTGTTTGTTTTTTTGAGATGGAGTCTCTTCTGTCACCAGGCTGGAGTGCAGTGCTGTGTTCTCAGCTCACTGCAACCTCTGCCTCCCGGGTTCAAGTGATTCTCCTGCCGCAGCCTCCTGAGTAGCTGGGACTATAGGTGCCCGCCAACATGCTCGGCTAATTTGTTTTGTATTTTTAGTAGAGATGAGGTTTCACCATCTTGGCCAGACCGGTCTTGAACTCCTGACCTCTAATGATCCACCAGCCTCAGCCTCCCAAAGTGCTAGGATTATAGGCGTGAGCCACCGTGCCTGGCCACAAATACTGTTGAGACTAAGTTTCCCTTGGAAGTAGAGGTCTCAGGCTAGTGGTATTTGTTGTGCCATGACTTAACCTACGCAGAACGTGTCTTCTGTGCATATTAGGTACTTTGAACATTACTAACTTCCAATTACTTTTATTATTTATCACTGTTCTTAGTAAAGTAAGACTTCATTACTTTGTAATACAGAATTTAGAAAGAGGCTATGGTGGTTTATTTTTATATTATCTGCAAAGGAGTTGCTAATGAAATAGAGTTAATGAGATTGCCAGGAGAATATTTGTGTTAATAAGAGAACAATGTGTTCAAGTGCAAAAACTTCAGAAGCACCTATTTATAGACAGACCGCTGTGGACTCCTACTCACACACCTCATCATGCTGCAAAGGCAGCTTCCCCGGCCCCCGGAGCAGTGAACTAAGTGTCAGGTGTGAGCCCAGCTCCAGCTGCACTGTGCATGCAATGCTCATCACGCATGCTCTGTGTCAGGAACTGTGAGGATCCACTGGTAAAAAGACACACACCCTTAGGGAACTCAGTCTGGTTGAGTGGTCTAGGTATATACCTGACAACAATAAAACTGTATTTATAAAAGAAATTTTTTTTTAACTTAAAAAGAAAAGCTGGCCAGGCACGGTGGCTCACGCCTGTAATTCCAGCACTTTGGGAGGCGGAGGCAGGCAGATCACCTGAGGTCAGGAGTTTGATACTAGCCTGGCCCACATGGTAAAACCCTGTCTCTACTAAAAATACAAGAAGTAGCCAGGCATGATGGCGCATGCCTATAACCTGAGCTACTTGGGAGGCTGAGGCAGGAGAATCGCTTGAACCGGGGAGGCGGAGGTTGTGGTGAGCCGAGATCACGCCATTGCACTCCAGCCTGGGCAACCAAAGCAAAACTCTGTCTCCAGTGGAAGCATGCTTCTGACTTCACTAATTACGGCAGTCTTCCTATCCTTTTGCTTGCAATTTCCCTATTTCTTTTTTTTTTTTTTTTTTTTTGAGACGGAGTCTCGCTCTGTCGCCCAGGCTGGAGTGCAGTGGCCCGATCTCAGCTCACTGCAAGCTCCGCCTCCCAGGTTTACGCCATTCTCCTGCCTCAGCCTCCCGAGTAGCTGGGACTACAGGCGCCCGCCACCTCGCCCGGCTAGTTTTTTGTATTTTTTTAGTAGAGACGGGGTTTCACGGTGTTCGCCAGGATGGTCTCGATCTCCTGACCTCGTGATCCGCCCATCTCGGCCTCCCAAAGTGCTGGGATTACAGGCTTGAGCCACTGCGCCCGGCCAATTTCTCTATTTCTTACTTTGCTAAATTATGAAATACCTACAGAAATTTATCCATTCATCCAATAACTATTATTGAGCATCTATATAGGCAGAGATGCAGAAGTGAAGTAAACAACAACCCCTGCCTTCCTGAAGTTTACATTATTTGTTCTATTTTCTATAGATAAGAGATTTACTGTCCAGAACCAAAAAACCCGGTGGGCTCAGAGTAAGGGAAGATCAACAGCTGGGCTTTTACGTGGAAGGCCTGAAGTTGGTGCCCTGTCAGAACTATGCCCAAATTGAAAGGCTGATGGAACAAGGAACAAAAATAAGGACCACGGCTTCGACCAACATGAATGCCAGCAGCAGCCGGTCCCACCTGGTCATCACCATCCAGTTCAAGCAGGTGAGAGCCGAGTGGACACCACCGTCCCCATCTCCAGAAAACGCCGCTCTGGGAGGAAGGCTCCCCCTGCGGAAGGCTCCCCCTGGCATAATGGGTTGGTGGGTATTATAGGATCCTGCAGATTTGACCTATGGATGAAGGTGGCTCTTCCAACCACAGCATATAGAGCCAGAAACAGGAAAAGGGGACATGTGTGCCCTTTTCCTGCCTCCCTCCCACCTCAATGGTCACACCCCACCCAGCCTAAGTGAGCCTATCAGAGCCCCAAAGGGCCCCATAGGACTAAGAGCTGTTTTCCCTCAAGTACATTCCAGGGCTTGGAGAAATAAGCTTTGACCCCAATTTGATCAAGGAGCAAATTGTGAAGGTATGAGAGTGTCTCCATGGTTTATCCTGGAGAACTGCATCAGCAACACATCTGTTCATTACCACCGTGAGACCAGCATTCAGACCCACAAGCCTGAGGACTGCCAGGTACTGAAGTACCCTTTCCATGCGTGGATGCATCAAGTTTTTTTTTTTTTTTTTGAAACGGAGTTTTGCTCTTGTTGCCCAGGCTGGAGTGCAATGGCACAATCTCGGCTCACTGCAACCTCTGCCTCCCAGGCTCAAGCGATTCTCCTGCCACAGCCTCCCGAGTAGCTGGGATTACTGGCGTGCACCATCATGCCTGGCTAATTTTGTATTTTTAGTAGAGACGGGGTTTCTCCACGTTGGTCAGGCTGGTCTTGAACTCCCGACCTCAGGTGACCCGCCCACCTTGGCCTCCCAAAGTGCTGGGATTACAGGCATGAGCCAGCGCGCCCGGCCGCACCCAGTAAGTTCTTAGGAATCAAGCAGTGCATGTAGCATTCCACTAACTAGAATCTTAGATCAACTAGAGCCCACTTTGATCCTCCACACCGGTACCTCGGTGGACATCAGAGAGTGATCTCTACAGTGCCACCAGTTTGATCTAGAAATGGCTATTCACAAATCCTGGGTCAATGTTACATGTAGCTATGATCCTACCACCTCTGTCCCCTAAGTCTTAGTACCAGTAATAGAACAGTAATCCATGAAAAGAATCCCGTTCTATGCAGGAATAAGGGGAAAGCACGGGACTGTGTTCAAGTCTGGACACCTCTGTTCACCAGCTCTAAGCCTTTGGGAAATAACCTCTGAGCCTCAGTTTCCTCTTCTGTAAGATGAGACGAGATACTCTCCTTGCAGTAACGTCAGGAAGCTTGAATAAGATATTGCATTTGAAGGAACTTTGTAAACATTTAAGTACTATTCACTTGATTTCACAATGTTAGTAAAATTCACCAACTTTATATATGGTTTGCCCTGATATTTTTTTAACTTGGTATTTTAGGGGCAAGTGAAGAAATTAGCTAGGAAAAAAGGAGTGAAGAGAGTTAGCACCGTACTCTGTATATTGGGATCAGTAGTGATATTAACACCTCATATTGTATGCCAGGCGTGTGCTACAACCATCACCTCTATGATCTTTAACCCTCATAACATCTCAGGAATGTGCTCCTATCACTGGTTTGCCACTGTGAAAGTTGAAACTCTGAAAAGATAAGTCGTTTGCACAAAGTCACGGAGGCTGCAAAGGAATCTGTAGGATCCTGAAGTACATGTTCTTTCCACATGACCACACAGTCCTGAAGAGCTACTTATTTTGCAGATTTCACAGTGATTTATATTAAGAATTTATTGATCATAGAAATAATGGAGCACTAATCGGTATCTAGCGTTTTACTGGAAAGGAGATTTACAGAATGGGAAGAGGAGACAGATATTTTATTGTAAAATGTTATTGTAGGGAATGGCATTGTATGTTGCAGATTTTGTTTTTTCAGTCTGAAATACAATGAAAATAACCATTTAAGGCCAGGCGCGGTGGCTCATGCTTGTAATTCCAGCACTTCGAGAGGTTGAGGTGGGTGGATCGCTTGAGGTCAGGAGTTTGAGACCGGCCTGTACAATATGGTGAAACCCCATCTCTACTAAGGATATGAAAATTAGCCAGCTGTGGTGGCAGGTGCCTGTAGTCTCAGCTACTCAGGAGGCTGAGGCAGGAGAATCACTTGAACCTGGGAGGTGGGGGTTGAAGTGAGCCAAGATCATGCCACTGCACTCCAGCCTGGGAGTCTGGGAGACAGAGCAAGACTGTTTCAAAAAAAAAAAAAGACCACTTTACATGTCAAGGGGAGTGCCCGCCCATGCAGCCTGCCACCTCCCTAATACTGTGGCATGACCTGTGACGCTTTTCTCCAGGTTTTCCTAGAAAAAGACCTCACCAAACAATCCAGCATTAATTTGGTGGACCTGGCAGGAAGTAAGAGGCAGAAATCTTCAGGATCTGAAGGAGACAGACCGAGGGAAGGATCACGCGTTAACTTAAGTTTAACCAATTTGGGAAATGTTATCAGGTAAATCATCAGTGAACCGGTATTTGTGTTATAAAAACGACCTCAGGTATGAAAAACTGGACTAACGATAACCCTTGGTGCATGATCCGCTGGTGTCACTGGCTTATGCCTGGGTTGCCTCCATATTTTATTTTAAACCAATTACTTTATTTTTAAATAGAGTAACACTGATACAACTGCCATCCAACCCAAGAATTGTTGGTGTTCCTCTCCTATGCTCCCCTTGGAGGTAACCATCATCTTGAATTTTATGTTCTCTCCCCGCTCAGCTCTCTCCTTCCTGGTTTTATCACATGTGAATATTATTGCTTAGTAACTCTCATTTCTGAACTTTATAAAAAGGGTGAAATTCTGTTTTGTCTTCTGGAACTTTAAAAATTTTTCTCATTAAGGTATAAACTACAGTAAAGTACACAAATCCTACGTGTTCAGCACATAAGTTTTTATAGATGTATATACCTCCGTCATTATCATCCAGATCAGAGTATAACACATTTCCAAAACCCACACAGCTCTTCATACTCCCCCCCGGTTGACACTCCCACCAGAAGAAATGGACCTTTGTCATTGTGGATTAGATTTGCCTAATTGCAGTGATTTTCGTATAAATGCAATCATTTTTATGAGGTCACCGGCTTAACCATCTGGCTTCTTTTACCAAGGATTGCGTCTATGATATTAATCAAAGTTGTTTCATGTATCAGTTATTATTTTCATTGTTATGCAATATATCAATGTGTGAATATCTCATAATTTGCTTATCCATTCTCCAATTGAGGGGCATTTAGCTTATTTCCAGGTTTGGGCTGTTATAAAGTTGCTGTGAATGTTTTTATACGTGTATTTTGGGGAAAATAGTCACTCATTTCTCTTGGGTATGTAGGCAGGAGTAGGACTGCGAGGACTTGCTTTTAGACTCAACGGTATTAACATTATCTATCCACATGATGCTGTACCTAGAGTGAGTTTTCCATTCTTTCACTGAACGTTGTCTATGAGATTCTTCCACGTTGTTGCGTGGAGCAATCGTTGTTTTTCATTGTTGCATAGGATTCCGCTGTGGGAATATGCCACAATTTAATCATTCCCTGACTGGCATTTTGATTGTCCCCAGTTTGTTTTTTGCTATTATAAGTAGTGCTATTATGAACATTCCTGTGCAAATCATTGGGTATTAACACCGTCATGCATCGCTTAACAATGGGGATATCGGCCGGACATGGTGGCTCACGCCTGTCATCCCAGCACTTTGGGAGGCCAAGGCAGGCGGATCACCTGAGGTCAGGAGTTCAAGACCAGCCTGACCAACAGGGAGAAACCCTGTCTCTGCTAAAAATACAAAATTAGCTGGGCATGGTGGTACATGCCTATAATCCCAGCTACTCGGGAGGCTGAGGCAGGAGAATCACTTGAACCGGGGAGGTGGAGGTTGCAGTGAGCCGAGATGGCACCATTGTACTCCAGCCTGGGTGACAAGAGTGAAACACAGTGTCAAAACAAAACAAAACAAAAAAACGCAACAACAACAAAAAAACAATGGCAATATGGAGGCCAGCGTGGGTGGATCACTTGAGCCAAGGAAGTTGAGACCACCATGGGTAACGTGGCAAAACCTCATCTCAAAAAATTTTTTTAAATTAGCCAGACGTGGTGGTGCCTGCCTGTAATCCCAGTTACTCAGGAGGCTGAGGTGGGAGGATCACCTGAGTCCAGGAGGCAGAGGTTGCAGTGAGCTCTGATTATGCCACTGCACTCCAGGCTGGGTGACACAGTGAGGCCCTGGCTCAAAACAAAACAAAACTAACAAAAATCCAGTGGGGATATGTTCTCAGAAATGTATCAGTAGGCGATTTTGTTGTGTAGACATCAGAGAGTGTACTTACATAAACCTGCATACCTGGCTAACCCAAGTGAAACCCGTCTCTACTAAAAAAATACAAAACTGCGGGCGA